TCGTCTATCAAAGGCTCCATGTACACACTCATATTAGCCCCCGGGTATCCTGGAATTATAAGTGACAAGAAAATATTTTGCCGTTGAAAGGCGGCGCCTCGGTGGGAGGTTCGGAGGATGGCGAATCCGGGCCCAACATGTGTATGGTGAAGAACCCATTCCATAAGGATTGAACCCATCGAGTTGCCGATTGCAATGCGTACATTACGAGCCTCAACAGTTGATCGAAGGATTCTCTACTCCAGCTAAACTGGGACTTCACAGCCATTAGACGTGCAATGGCATCCAGTTTAGAAACATTGGTGCGCCCGTGAAGGGGTTGTTGTGCCGCATCCAACATGGCGTAAAACGCCTTTGCGATGCTCTAGCTCACCTTTCTGCACTTCCTTCATCGAAAAAAGATGTCATGGTCATTTAACATTTCGCCACCCGGCTTCATATCAAACTCCTCGATCCGTTGTCTCACGACCTCTTCTCTGTACGATGGCGTTCACCATGCATGGTCCACGGGTATAGTTCTCTACAAATCCATTGTTGACAAGATCTTTACTCATCTCCTCATATGTTTTCATTGCCTTGTTCTTACACTTCGTGCACAGGACACCGGGCATGTCGCCGTCCGTTTGCAAATGCCTTCGTCATGAAATCATTGGCCTTCTCAATCCATTCATTTGTGTATTGACCCCTCTTCTGATAGCCCGTGTACATCCACTGACGGTCATCCATCCTAACATATAGACGATATTGCAGCGATTTAGAGCAATAGAGTAGTAGTGCTAGAGAAAAACCATATGAGATGATAAAGAGACATTCATGTTCTTGGTCGATTCACATAGAAGATGTTTGCTAGATTGGATGATGAGATTTTACCTAAGGTTGAAAGGCCGCTATGTCACTTGTAGATGGAGGAATACATGGAACCAATTTTTTTGTAGCCACAACCATCACTAGCAAGATTTATCGAAGATTGAGGTAGAGCATCAGCAGGTTTTGTAGCGTGTCTCAACCATATACCCGAGCACCAGCGCGCGCCTAGCAGCACAACCATGTGGCTAGCACACAAAGGCGCTAGGTTCTATCGCAGCACTATAGGTCACATGGCATGACACTACCACAAACAAATCACCGATGACAAGCCCTAGTTACTAATGAATAGATTGTTCAAAGATTTTGGACAACAAGAGTGATATATTTAGCAAGTGGAATACATGTTGATGAGATAGGTACATACTTGTTGATAGCATGAGAAACTTGGACTGGATCATGTGGAAAAAATTAACAAAAGATTGGATAATTTCCATATATTTTTGGACAGAAAGGCAACCAATATATAAACATGTATGCTTGATGAAAATTATTATCGGTTGTCGCAGCACTAAAGGGTAAAACTGCCACTTCTCCTTTGAGGAGATCGATCAGAAGACATTCAGTAGCAGCAGCAACTAGCTAGCTTCTTCTGACCGAATCACTGATCAGCTTAAAGCATTCAGTATGCAAAGCTGGCCGTGCCCGGCCGGGGATCATCGACACACACAAACATACTACTACTACCAGCTGCAGCAGGCCGGTCCTGTGCCATGCATGCCTCCACATTCTCCACTCTCCCCACTCTGATAAAAGATGGCAGCGGCCGGCTAGCCCAGGCACTGCAGAGAGAGATGAATAATGCAGGATATGCTAAAGTGGTAGAGAGAGAGGACTGCTTTAGGGCCCCCACCCATGGCTGCTGCACCTGCAATGGGGCAACGGGCAACGCTGATCGAAGAGAAAATAAGAACAGGTGGCTTGTATTTTTGTTCACAGGATACTTCTCAGATTTAGACAGGTGGCTTTATTTGTTTCCTTAACCTTCATATTGGGGTTGCATATCATAAATACTGAACTTTGTTTTCGTGTAGTCAGAGCTTAAAACAGTGAAGCGTAGGTTGCTTGATCAATGTGGCATGCAGGTTGTTTGATGTGAAATCAATTTATTATATACCATGAGAAATAACTAGAGGTACCTCTATGATGTATGTAATTTGTAGATCAACTATTAGTCTATTCTTATGTGTTAATTGTCTCCTCTGTTAATTACAGGTCAAACCTAGGCCACCAAGGTTACAAGTTGAGATATATGCTTCAAATGGTTTCTACAGTCTTCCAGTGATACCAGTTTGCACGCGATCAACGTCGTGCCACGCTGCCAATCATCGATGATAGAGGGCACCATGAACTGATAAGGACATGAGGCAAAGGTGACACCATCATTGTCAATGTTTCTTCAGTTTTCCAGTTGTTGCAATTTGTCATTATTTTCCCTGAAGTTTTTTGCGTCTTTCAATGTTTTATTCAGTTGTTTTGTGTTTCATTGTTTGATTTGGTCTTTTAGACTTTTAGCGAATGATTCAAACTATTGCAAGGGCCAGTTCAATCTCAGAACTCACTTTGTTTATTTCCTTATTAACTTCATCTCTCTCTCTCTCTCTCTAATTTGCTGCTTTCTCTCTCCTCTTGCAAACATGCATGATCCACGGCAACTATGCATGATCTCTCTCTCTAATTTGGAGCACCAGCAAAATAAATACTTCTCAGAAAGCCTGTTCAAATTCAATCTTAGACAACTATGCAGTAGCATTTTTTTTGGATAGAATCTACAGAAACTTCTCTTCTGGCTACAAATCTCAGATTACTATTTTCTTACATTGATACTTTGCATCTACTACCCAAGTAAACCACAAAGCACAACACACGTGTCTGCGCGCCTCTGTTCTAGTGTTCTAGCGAGGATGATGAAGATGAAGAGCCTCGAAATACCTCGAGAAAAGGGTGGGCGATTGGATGGAGTTGGAGCCGGGGCTGCGGCGTCCGCGTGCTCGGTGTCGAGCGGGAGGCCGGGAGCTCGTCGGAGTCGACGACGCCGTGGATCGCCAGTGTCCAGCCACGCTTCGCGCGTCAGGGCAGACAGCGTCGAGCTGGAGCTTCAGCCCTTCCTTTCCCCTTCTCCAGCTGCCGTCTTCCACCACGCTTGCGCCCGTTCTCTGACGGCGTGGAGGGGAGGAGGCGGCAGCGGCGGTGGGGAGGCGACAGCGACGGCGGGAGGTGCCCGGCGTCGGCGTGGAGCCTGGCGAGGAGGCCTGGCGCAAGTCAAGGGGACGGCGGGGGGCGCCAGCGCGTGGGGGCGGCGGCGGCGGTGCGGCGAGGATCTTGTGAGCGTCAGTGGTGTGTGTGTCGTCTGCACGATTTGGGGAGAAACGACTAAGTGAATGCCTCTGTTTACAGTGCCTAGATATACGGCACTTTCGGTAAACTCAACACCGCAGCCCAATTACATGTGGGCCTGGTACATGTTTACCGAGTGCCCCCATCTCACGGCACTCGGTGGCAAAGCCTCCAGCTTACGGGGACATCCCACTGCTCACCAAGATTTTCGCTTCCAAAGCCTCGACGTGAAGGACCTCGCCGTCCTCTCCGGCGCCCACACCCTTGGCACGGCGCACTGCCCGTCCCCACGCCGACCGGCTCTACAACTTCAGCAGCGCGTACAACTCGGACCCATCCTCGACAGCGAGTACGCTGACAGGCTGAGGACGCGCTGCAAGAGCGTCGACAACAAGGCCATGCTTTCTGAGATGGACCCTGGCAGCTACAAGACCTTCGACACCAGCTACTACCACCACGTCGCCAAGCGGAGGGGGCTCTTCCAGTCCGATGCCGCGCTCCTCGCGGACGCTACCACTAGGGAGTACGTCCAGCGCATTGCCACCGGCAAGTTTGACGACGTGTTCTTTAAGGACTTCAGCGAGTCCATGATCAAGATGGGCAACGTCTCCGTGCTCACCGGTGCAGTGGGGGAGATCAGGAAGAAATGCTACATCGTCAACTAAAGTATATATTATCAGCTCGCTAAATCATTGATTTTTTAATAAGCTTAACTCCATGAGATGATAGGGCGCATGTCTGTCTGTTGTTCCTCAATGTAATGTATTAATTATATTGCTGTAAATTCATTCTTTCTCTGTACGATAATGTCAATGGTGGCAGATAAACTGGAGCGCACATTATATATTTCATATACACTTGTGACATAAGTACACATATATGTACTGGAAGACAAAAAAAAAAAAATAACAATCTAGAAAAATTCATATAAAATAACAAATGAGCAAAATGCACCACAGGTCCATTACCGTTTCGCCCGGTGTCACTTAGGTCCAACACCTTTCTAAATGCAGGTCTTACACGATATGTATCTAATTATCATAAAGAATGAAAATTTTGTGAAATATAGTAAATAAATCGAAATAAACACCATATTTTGGAATGGAGTACTAAATATCATATGTGGATAGAGGAAAAAGAATGAAGGAAAAACAAGAAATTTGGTTGAATTTTACCGAGTGTTGCGCCAAAGACACTCGGTAAAAGATAGTGTTTACCGAGTGTTGTGAACTTACACTCGGTAAAACTTTATTATTACCGAGTGCAAATACTTCTACACTCGGCAAACATGTCATGCCGTGGCCGCCGTTTGGCGCCGCGGTTGGTATACTAGGAGACGTGGAAGCTCAATACCGAGTGTCTCTTTTTACCGAAAGTGCCCCTTGATAAAATTGTAGTTCTACCGAGTGTTTGAGGTTACCGAGTGTTCGGACTCGGTAAAGAGGTCTACTACCGGTGTTTATGTTTTCCGAGTGTTGGCACTTTCGGTAATAAATGTTTTCCGAGTGTCCCGACTTTTGACACTTGGTAATTTTCTGGGCACTCGGTAACTACACAGTCTCCGGTAGTGTCTGCCACATCCTCTGGACGAACGTCGCCGCCGCTCTACGCCAGGTCTTCGTCGGCCCCTGCGACGAGCACCCGCAAGGTATTTCCAGCATCTCTTCTCTTCCCTTCCCTTCCCTTCCCTTCCTGCAAATTCTATCGGGAATGTTGAATGCATAGTGTATTTGCCCATAAAAACATTGCATCAGACGAGTTCATCAGCCTTGACGCACCTTGCGAGGCTGATGCGAAAGATGAAGGGGGAGAAAGATGCGAAAGATGAAGAGGTAGTAATCCCAAGCCATCTGCTGGGGCCTGGGAACATGGATCTTGAAGAGGGGCAAGTGGAAGATATGGACCTCGCGGATGATGACGTAGTGGTTGGAAAGGATCAGCTACTGGATGCTTCCATTCAGCCCGAGATCAGTGTTGCAGCTGTGCAGACTGTGATTGGTTTTGAGGTCAAGCTGGACAAGGGCGATGGGACTGAAAATGCACCAATTTATGAGTCAAACAGCATATCTGTTGAAGAAAGTCGTATCCTATTGAATGGAATATTATGTATTTCTGCTAATATACTTCTGCAACTGCAAGTGCCTATGTTTTCTGAAGATTTATTTGTTTCCATTGAATCCTGGGAACTGTACTTGCATAAGAAGCGCAGACTCTTGGTCATACTCCTGGGACTCTACACATGTTATTGTGACTTGGGGCAAATTTATAGCTGTTGTTGTTCCTTGATATGGCATTTTTAGCCTCGAGAGGAGTTAAAAGAGCCCGTGTGGAATCAAAGGAGTCTTGGAGCACATGACATTTTGTGGTAGCAACTTTCATGCTCCGGCAAAATATTTTAAAACCATTTGGTTATTTTTAATAAGTATTGGTATCTTAATATCTCAGGGAAAGCAAAAGAAAGCTTATGCAACTAATGCAACAATGGTCTGAGTGGCAGGCCAGAAGGCAGCACCATTTGAAGGTACCGTTCTGTACAATTATGTATGCTACCTCCATTCATTTTTATCTGTATGTCCTTAGTCTTTGACACTGCCATAGATGAGGTTAGCTGTTTCCACTGTGGGAATATGGGGGAGTACGAAACTACAAATAAAGCAACGGCAACGCTATCAAATCAAATAAACATACTTCTATGAACTCTGAACTCTGTCGTAATACATGTCTGCAACTAGATTCCTGGAAGTCATTTCTACACAGCTAATTACCTGCTACGGGGCTTGTACTATGTAATAGTAATTCTCATTATTTTTTTGCAGATCACTTTAGCATTTGGACTGAGGGATTATAAATGTTTTCAGATTATATGATTTATACATGAGATAGATAGATCATACAATCCTGTTCCTCATGTGTGTTGCAAGTTAATTTGGGGCCTAAGTATTTTGAAAGTTAGCCGTAACTTTCAGACCTTGGGATCAATAAATAATAATACACTGGTTTCAGTAGGCAAACATGTGCAGTTTGCCTCTATCTCTTGCACCCTGCAATCTTGATTAGTTGTAGCACAGCTAGGCAATGCTCTGAAGAGAGTATATGCAGAACAAGAGCCTTGATAACTCTAAAAATTACAGTGAAACTATAATAAACTGTGTGCACAATTTATTTTGCTTCTTCTGCCCTTATTTTAAATCCAAATTATTTTTGAGGTGCAAAATTCTTTTTACTGTATTTCTGGAACCATTCAGGTCAAACATAGTAGTAATTTTGAGACCTGAAATCCTCTACTGGTTAACAGGGAATTGATGATAAAGTTATCATAGTGGTTTTTCTTAAAGGTGGCACTGAGTTTACAGCCATCGTGGTTGATGTTGGGACTGCTAACAAAAGTGATCTTGTTTTGCTTCCAACAAAAGTATGATACATATATTGTTTTAGCCATAATGTGATAATTTGTTTGCCTGGACACTCCATGAAATCATTATCATATACCTTTCCCACATTCAGTTCGTGCTGGATATTGATTGTTAAACACTATTGACCTCATGTTTGTTAGCTAATCTACTGTCACCTTGTGTGAACACAGCAGATGAAGGCGGCGCCGACTTAGCTGCCTGCTGTGTGTGAACATAGCAAGGGAAGGCGGCGCCGACTTTGCCCCCTGCTGTGGATCTGATGAGTCGGCTGCGCAGTCCAGGCGCCCAGACGGCTCACTGCTGCAAAGATCAGAGGAACAGGCGGGCGGCGGCGCAGAGTCAGCCTGTCAGTTATCTAGTTCTTTGTGCCGCATGGGCGGCGCACATGGACTAGATAGTTAGAGTTTGTATAAATAGACATGTATGGCAACTCGATAAAGAGAGCTCAGATTTTCCATCACACAGAGGATTGGGGCTTCGACCAACGCTGCGTTGTCTTGTATTGTCGCGTGCTTGCTCTGTTCTCCCTTCCTCTTCTAGCTCGATCCGTAGTGTGTGGAGTGCGGACAACGCCGCAGTCGCGGTCCGCACGCGGCTAGTGGGTGCTCGGCAACACTAGTGCGTGCTCGGCGAGACAAACAAGTGCTCCACTACTTTTGAGCCGGTGGTCGGCAAGATCGGCTGCAGTGGCACTATCGTGAGCCGGTGATCCTGTGAGACCAACGGAGTGGTCTGGAGGCTATCGCGGTGGTCTGGAGGCTATCAGGTAGTGGTCGGAGGCTGTGGTCTCTGGTCTGGAGGCTATCTGTGGTGGTGCAGAGATCATCTCGGTGGTCGGGAGGCTAACGTGGGCCAACAAGTGGTATCGAGCAGCGATACAAGCGCCATCGTCATTCTAACCGATGCGATGATGAGAAGTGATTCGAGTTGGGCGATGGCGGTGGCCTTTATCATGGCTGCCCGACCACTACCGGAGGTAGTTGTTCGCCTGATGCGGGGAGGTCAGCGGCACCACTTGGCCGACGCTGACTCGCACTAACTATGGAGAGTGGTCGGTGACCATGAAGGTCAAGCTCAGAGCCCGTCGGCTCTGGAATGCTGATGACAAGGGCACCGACGTGGAAGAAGACGACATGTCAGCGATGGAGGCAATCCTCGCTGCTGTACCGGTGGAGTACAGGGAACCGTTGGGGACGAAGAGCTCGCTAAGGGCGGCGTGGGAGGCCATTGCGGCGATCTTGGCGTCGGTTCCGACCAGCGCAAAGAAGGCAACGCCCCGACTTACAAGCGAGTACGCAAACCTCAAGTTCAAGGATGGTGAAACGGTGGAGGACTTCTCCCTCCGCCTGCAAACGCTCATCAGCAAGATGAAGAGCCACGGCGTCACCATCGACGAAGAGGAGGCGGTCTCCAAGTTCCTCCATTCCGTGCCGGCAAAGTACATCCAGATCGCTCTATCCATAGAGACGATGCTGGACTTGTCCACCCTCACCATCGAGGATGTGGTAGGCCGTCTCTACGGGCGGTGGACGAGCGCCTAGAGCAAAGCGACAACAACGGCGACAGCGGAAACTCCTCGCAGCGGAAGAGGAGGTGGGCTGCTCGGCGAAACTCCGGAAGGCAGCCTCCTCCGGTCAGCGGTGGCAACGGCAAACATCACGGCGGGGCTTCTTCGGAGAAGAAGCAAATCGACTCAACGCTTTGTCGGTGTTGCGGGAAGATGGGCCATTGGGCGCAGGAGTGCCCAAATCGAAAGAAGGAAAAGAAGGCTCGGCTCTCTGGCGAAAGCCGATGATGAGGATGAGGCTACTATCCTATGGCGATGTTACGTGCCTTTACTGCGACGTCGAGGCCATGGAGAGGGAAGAGGCGACGACGGTCGAAGGATCTAGCAAGACCACGAAGACCGTCAACCTCGACGAAACCACGCGCCCAAGTCCATCTTGGGCATGTGGGCGCCGACCGGCAGCGCAGCGGTGGTATCACGGACTCGGTGCCGATAACCACATGACGGGCTCCAAGGACTCCTTCTCCGAGCTCGACGGCGATGTTACCGTGCGGTGAAGTTTGGTGACGGCTCAAGGGTGGCTATCCAAGGCGCGGCACCATCATCTTCGAATGCCGAATGGTGAGCACCGCAGCTAACGAATGTATATACTACATCCCGGTGCGTTGCGGCATCATCGGCGATTGGTCACCGGATGGCCGCGGTAGCGAGGTTCTGATCAAGGGGCGCGTTCGAGGATCGAGACCGGAGAAGCGACTTCGCCAAGGTGAAGAGGTCCACGAACGGTTGTACCCTTTCGACCGAAGGTAGAGCGGCCGGTTTGCTGGCGGCAAGGCACTCCGAGGAACCGTGGATGTGGCATGCCCGGTTCGGAGATCTCGGCTTCGGCGGCGCTTGGTCGGTGGGAAGATGGTCCGAGGGCTACCCACATCAAACAAGGAGGCGGTAGCTGTGACAAATGCTGGCCGGCCGAAAGCGAGAGGAGGCTACCTTTCCCAAAGGCGGCTAAGTATCGCGCGAAAGCTCTCGAGCTAGTTCACGGCGATCTCTGCGGGGGCTGATCACGCTTTGCTACATGCGGTGGTCGGCGGTACTTCCCTCCTACTCATGGACGATTGCAGTCACTACATGTGGCTGCAACTCCTAACGAAAAGGACGAAGCGGCGGTGGCGATCAAGAAGTTCAAGACACGCGCGGAGGCCGAGAGCGGCAAGAAGCTCCGCGTACTGAGGACTGATCGAGGTGGCGAATTCACTTTGGTGGAGTTTGCTACGTATTGCGTGGATCAAGGTGTGGGGCAACATCACACCGCGCCGTACTCGCCACAACAGAATGGCGTGGTGGGCGACGAGAACCGAGATAGTGGTCGGCATGGCCCGATCCATGATGAAGGCCAAAGGATGCCGCAAAAAGTTACGGGGAGGCGGTGACCACGGCGGTGTTCATCCTCAACCGCCCTCCTACCAAAGCCCTAACGGGCAAGACGCGTTCGAAGCTTGAAATGCGGGAGCAAAGCGAACGTGTCATTCCTCTGGACATTCGGTTGCATCGGCCACGTCCAGAAGACAAAGCCGAACCTCACCAAAGCTGGAGGACGAGGAGCACACCCATGGTGTTCTGGGCTACGCGAGAGGGTACCAAGGCGTCTCGGCTCTATGACCCACGCGGAGACAAGGTGACTGTGTCTCATGCGACGTTGTGTTCAACGAGGAGGCGACTTGGGGCCGCACAGTCCAAGCACGGGGAGCGGGAGGCTTCACCAACACCTTCGTCGTCAAGCACTTGGTCATCCACGGCAGTGGAGACGCTGCAGAACAGGTGCCACGCACTCCGGGAGGAGCGCCGAGCACTCCGGCGGTAGAGTCGAGCACTTCTAGGGCAGTGCCGAGCACTTCTGGAGGGATGCCGAGCACTCCGAGAGGAGTGTCGAGCACTTCGGAGGGATGCCGAAACACGCCAGAGTGGAGCCGGAGGTTCTCTGATGGCGGCGACCACTTCAAGACGGGTACCGAGCACTCCCGTGGCGAGCCAAGGCGTCTTCTTGTGGTTCCGACCACTCCAAGGCGAGGTGGGCACTCCTACGGTGTGGCGAACACTGCGGGAGTTATGACGAAGCGATCGAGAAGCGATCTTAGCACTTCAGTGCTATCACGAGGCACTCCAGCGGAAGAAGGAACTTCATCACCCCTGATCTAGTTCGCCTCACCTCCAAGTGACATCATTGAGTTCATGGACGCCTACCACGAAGGTGAGGAGTTGAGGTTCCGCAGGCTGGACGACATCGTTGGCGGCACAGGTCCCTCAGGTATGGCGGGTAGGCTGCTCAATGACGCAGAGCTGCTACTCGTCAGTGCAGAGGAACCACCCACATTCGCGCTAGCCGAGCACGATGGAAACTGGCAACGGGTGATGCTGGAGGAGATGAAGGCGATCGAGGAAAACGAGACTTGGCAGCTCGTCGATCCTCCTCCAGGATGCCGTCTGATCAGCCTGAAGTGGGTGTACAAAGTCAAAAGGGATGAGCTCGACGCCATTGTCAAGCACAAGGTGCGCCTCGTCGCCCGAGGCTTTGTCCAGCGCGAGGGCATCGACTTCGAGGAGGTCTTTGCACCAGTAGCGCACATGGAGTCGGTCCGTTTGCTACTTGCTTTGGCGGCAGCAAAGGACTGGCGCGTCCATCACATGGACGTTAAATCGGCCTTCCTCAACGGCGAGATGGCGGAAACGGTCTTCGTCAGGCAACCTCCAGGGTTCGCTGTCAAGGGAGAGGAGCACAGGGTGCTCCGACTGCGTAAAGCGCTCTACGGGCTGAGGCAAGCCCCTCGAGCATGGAACACCAAGCTTGACACCACGCTGGGCGAGCTTGGGTTTCAAAAGTGCGCAACCGAGCACGCGCTCTACACGCGACGATGGGAGAAGGAAGAACTCGTGGTCGGCGTGTATGTGG